GGATATTGAAGGGCTCCTACTCACAGTCTCTCTGCAGAGATAAGCGGGAGAGAATGACTTAGGCAGGGAATATTTCTTCTTTGCAGTATTGAAAAACATTGTATTTATGATTTAATGAACTAAGTAATCAATACCTAATACATACTGTGAAAGTAAACTCTACCACTTAAAGCAGGGGTGCCCAAAAGGTAGATCTCCAGATGTTTCAAAACTACACCTCACAAGATGCTAAGGCATTCTAAATTCATGCAAAGCATCATGGAAGTTGCAGTTCAACATTTGGGCATCTACCTTTGGGCTACTCCAAACATCATGACCCCCCCCCCACACACACACACACACCTCCCTCAGTGACAAGTAAAGGACTTTTTTCACTTATCTGATTTCAGTGCACGGGTCCGCCTCCTTCTCTGTGAATGTCAGCCAATGGGGGGGGACCAAATGCGCATGCCGGCAAGTGCCACGCATGCATTAGGCATTCCCTATAGGAAAGCATTGACTCAAATCTTTCGTATGGGGTTTTAGAAGACGCTGACCTCCTCATACAAACGAATTGGCACTGTATAGATTAAGAGACTGGTACATATCTAATCTGGAGCCCTACTAGCCACAAACTACAGGAAAATAAGTTCAGTCAATGCCGGTGGGTGGGATCAGGTATAGTAATACAGACATCGACAAGATCCAGGAGAAACATCTGGGAGCAGACACTAGGTCACTCCAATATCCCCAGGCCAAAATTGGAACCTGTACTCCTTACTGGCGCCCAAATCGGTATCTTAGAAAAGGCCAAAAAAACACTGGTATCCATATTGCTTAATGATCTTACGAGGGTGTTAGCCATGCACTAAGGTAATTCCCTTCAAAGCTTCACTCCTAGGTAAGTGCTAGTGGTGCCAATTGTCCCAGAGCTCAAGATTGTACCCGGAAACTGGGGACCCATGTCCTGCAAGTGGCACAAATTGTAGTGGAGATTCAGTTTTTTTATTGTAGCCCAAAACTGACCGTATATATTGTCGAATGCTAAAAGCAGAGAAACCAAACCACATATGGAGAGTTTGGAGCTGGAGAGCCCTGGTAGTGAGGCTTACGTGTCTTGAAATAACTTGACTCTATGCAGAATGTTTAATGACAGTATCTCAAACCCAAGAGAGTAGATACTTCCATTGAGGACTTGGATAATGAAAGGGGGGAAAATGGGGCTTATTAGAAGGCTGGATAAGCTCAAGAACGGGGATCAGGCAGACCACCAGGTCATAATTGATAAAGTCTTGGTACACCCCCGGTAATATCTTGGTTTGACATTCCAAAATGAGATCCAGGTCATCCTTGTGTAGAAAAAGGCGAGACAGCTGTCGAAATTCTGATTTAAAATAAATAAATAAATAAACGACATAGGCTGAAAAGTATATAAAATGTGAGGAGCTTTTCGGCCCTGCATCTAGCTAACTTTGCAGTCAAACCCTGCCCTAGGGATACTTTTTATGTAGAGCATGACCTTTGGAATTTGTGTGTAATCGACGAAGTTTAAAGGACCCCCTCCCGCCCGGCTCTGGAAGGGGGAAAGGGGTTAAAACGTACCTTTTTCCAACGCTGGGCGGAGAGCTCTCCTGCTCCGATCCTCCTCTTCTCCGCCCTGTCGGCTGAATGTGCACGCGCGGCAAGAGCTGCGCGCGCATTCAGCCGGTCACATAGGAAAGCATTCATAATGCTTTCCTATGGACGCTTGCGTGCTCTCCCTGTGAAAATCACAGTGAGAAGCACGCAAGCGCCTCTAGTGGCTGTCAATGAGACAGCCACTAGAGGATTAGGGGGAAGGCTTAACCCATTCATAAACATAGCAGTTTCTCTGAAACTGCTATGTTTATGAAACAAATGGGTTAACCTTAGCTGGACCTGGCACCCAGACCACTTCATTAAGCTGAAGTGGTCTGGGTGCCTAGAGTGGTCCTTTAAGCAAAGACCTGTTTCAGTTACCAAGCTAAATTGCCCACAATCCCACAAAAAAGCAAAATGGAGCCATCATGGACAGGGGAGAAAAAAATGGCAGCGCCCAGATAACGATATCTGTCGCAAGGAAGATGTTAGATAATAAATAAAGGCAAATAGCAAGAGGGGGAGTATATCAGATACAGAGGGCGTAAGGAAAGGAAAACTAAAACAAAAATAAATGACAGCACCACTTTAAGAGCAAGTCTGGGGAAAAGGGCTAAAAGTGGAGCAATCAGCTAAAAGAGTCCATTGGTTTTCTACAATTTTATAAAGAAAAAATCCAAAACATTGACTGGGGCAACAATTGTGCTAATTAGCAGAGGCCTATTGTATTGATAGTCAGTAAATGGACAATTTATAAATCCTATCATGATAACTTCCTTGCTGTGTTGCTACTGCAGGCTATACCTTATTTAGTCAGACTGGTTCTTTGTTATCTGTTGTAACAAATACATGTTTTGGTTCGTTTGTCTTTGATGTGTTCTTGAAAGCTGTACACAGCAGAGAGACTGGCAGATAAAGGTATAGAGCACAGACTGACAGATACAGATACATAGCACAGACTGACAGATACAGGTACAGAGCACAGATACAGGTACAGGTACAAAGCACAGACTGACAGATACAGATACATAGCACCGACTGACAGATACAGGTACAAAGCACAGACTGACAGGTGCAGAGTACAGACTGACAGATACAGGTGCAGAGCACAGAATGACAGATACAGAGACAGAGCACAGACTGACAGATATAGACACAGACTGACAGATATAGACACAGACTGACTGATACAGATACAGACTGACTGATACAGACACAGACTGACAGATACAGGAACAGGTCACAGACTGACAGATACAAGTATAGCATAGAGTTGTAGGTACAGGTACAGACTGACAGACACAGGTATTGCACAGAGTTGAATATACAGGTACAGAGTGACAGATACAGATATATCGCAGAGTTGTAGATACAGGTGTACAGCAAAGTCTCAGATACTAGTATACATACAGGAAAAATCTATACATTTTCCTTTATACCCTTAGAATCTGCCAATTTTTTTGAGACCCAGTGAATCTGCAAATTCAGGGTGACTTTGGGCTACGCGGCCTACGCCTCCCTAACTGACAGCTTTTTTTGCACTGAAATCAATGAGAACCTGTGTTTTTGGCCTAGCTCCAGGTGACAAGGTGCTGGCTGAATCTAATAACTTGATTATGTCTATTTTAGCTTCACTGTTACCAGAACATCATTCCTCTAACCATAAACACAGTGTTTAAAGAGGTGTGATTCCCCCTCTCCACCCCTTCAACTAATCCACCTTCACATTTCACTGCACATGTTTACTTGGAATTCCTCTAATACATTGTATCAAGCACCTTGCATGTTTGACACTCACACCGTAACCACATCTTAGGTAACATTCACTTAAGGTTAATTAGTACTGGACTATTTTTATGCTTATTGGTGTGTCCACCTATATCCCTCCCTCTCTGCAATATTCCTTATCTGTATTTCTACATAACTCCCAGTAACCCTGTGGCAGAAATCCCATCAAGTCATGGATTACCAAACACACGCTCTAAACAGCAACAACCAGTTGTAAGTCCTTTGACCGTACGTGTAATTCTGTGTCACAGACAATGGTTGGTCGGTTGCCAGGTTAGAAAATGCTGTACCACTGTACCATAACCGCCACGTTACCCTGTGGCTGGAGACTAGAAAGATGGATAATCTTTGTCTGTGCCAAATCCACCCACATTGGACTGTCCCGTTTACGTGATCTTGACAAGAACTGGTCCGACAGCATTCAGCAATGAACTGATTCATGTCATTCCTGGGCATTGCTCTGCTGGAGAGATGAGGAAAAATCCTTTTGCACAATATCGAAAACACCCTGTACTTTTATAAAATTATATTTAATTTGTTTTGTTTTTTTTTGTTTTTTTAGTTCAACCTAAGAGACCTGGGAGAACGAAAGGGAAGGCTCTCGTCCCGTCGTTCGAGCAAGTAAGTCTGAATAAAAACACACATTTGCAAGATTGTTGTCAATTATTTACAGCCGTCTTACAGAGGACAAAAATCACTAGAACTTCTTGGTTTGGCAGCTGATAGAATATTCAGATTAACACCTTGATGGAATATAAACCTGACTGAGGCCTATCTGACAGGATTTTCCAAGAAACCTCAGATTGACAGGTTCTTTCAACGCTATCTGCTCCTAACATTACATATTTCAAAGATGTGTGTAAAACAGGAAGAATAGAGATTAGATCTTTAGCTGTGCAAAGGCCTGACCTCAGCTTACCTCTCAGTTTCTGCAATCTCTCATTCTAAGTTTCTAAGCATAGTTGGGGCAATATACACATACATAGAAACACACACAAACATACACACAGACAGACACCAAAATCAGGACTGTCCCACCTAAAGCATGACTGTTGGGAGACATGACACTGTAAAACACACAAATAACCACAGACACACGTACTGACACAGATACACACTCTCACACATACATATACCACCCAACATTTTAAATTAACTTTTTATTTTAGGGCTGTGAGAGGGGGTGAAGACAGGCAAAGGCTGTTGTGAGAAATTTTAGGTGTTTTACTAATAGAAATTTATGTAATTTTTGTAATTTAAAACAGGAACAATGTATCTGATATACATAGACTGATTTCTAAAACGCATTTACTGTAGTTTAAAGATGCATTACACTCGGTGCTTTTGCTGTAGAGCTCTGTTATACACTCAGACACAATAACAATATGGAACTTGCAGAAAAGAGAGACATTAGGCTAGAAAAGAAAGACATAGGGATTTTAGACCTAAAATAGGGACACTTGTGAGGTATGCAAAACAGAGTGCCAGGCATGTACATACAAATACTCACTCTCACACACAAATACACAGTGCTAGACAAACACATACAATTACAGATTCTTTCATGCCTGACTGATTTTACATTTTTCTACAGAGATCGGTGATAAGTGACAGCCATGTCACAGGAGGATGGCAACAAGGAAAGTGGAACAAATGAATGTCCGGTTTGTTATGAGAAACTTCAAGCCCCAACTATTTCTGAGAGAAGGCTGAGTTGTGGCCATTCATTCTGCCATGACTGTCTGGTGAAGTATCTCATGACTGCCAAAAAGGAGGGTTCAATAAAAAAGAATATTATCTGTCCTCTGTGCCGTTATGTGACATTTCTCAGCAAGAGGGGACTTATTTTGCCTCCCAAGCATGGAGAACTCCATCAGATCTTGGAGGTTCCAATCTCGCCATCATGCATAAGGCATTCTTCTGATCTGGGTTCAATGAACACATTAGTTATTCCAAACACTGAAGATGCAGAGTCAGGTGGCCCCCCTGATCACCAAAGATGCAGTTGCCAGTTTGACTCTAACCTTGATGCAATCAACCACACTTGTGGATCGCAAATCTTTGTTATCAGCGACCAAGGGCAACCACTGGAAAGCGTTGAGGTGGTCACCACACAAACACATCATGTAGATGCCCGAGTCAACTGTTGCCGTTCCCCATCGTTGATACTGATCCTACTGTTGATATTTCTTGTTGCAGTCTTAGCAGCAGTTCTTCCATGGATATTATTGGTCAAAAGAACTTAATCCAACCTCGAACGAATACTTTCCAAAACCATCAGGATAAAAAAAGAATTCAACGCATCTATTTTGATATTATATTACAGAATTCATTATTGATGGGGAGAAATTAGTCATTAAGAAAGATAATAATTAGAAAGACAGTATCTGCTTACACTGCAGATACTCTTTCAAATTTTGGAACCTTGTATATCAATCCCAAGACATTTGCCTGAAGAGGACCAACACTTGGAATCATTCTGTATCTCACAAACTTCTAGCAAAAAAATAATGTAATTTAACACTCTACAATTTCAGTAAGGAATTATATTTTACAAAAATTAAGAACAATTTTGTATTTTACCAAAGAAATCAATCTACCGTATGTACTCGTCTATAAGTCGATCTCGTGTATAAGTCGAGTGCAGTTTTTTGACCATCAATTGTGAAATATGCTATGATTCGTGAAAAAGTCGAGGGTACGTTATTCAAATAGAATTGTTTGGCTTCTGTTCGGTTACCGAACAAACTCTGTGTGGTCCTCCTTGTTAACACCTCGTAATCACCAACCACCCCTGGCTGTTAACCACAAACAAGCATTCCCTGGGTGGCCACCATTCGTATATACAAATGCACGTGTTGTCAACTGCATGGATCTCTGAGTTGGCTACGCAAGCCTGTGAACCTTCCTGAAACTTGTACCCCTTCCCGGCCAGCTAGGAGAACAGCGTTCGGGAGTCGACACTCCCCCGCATTCAACTCTCGAACGCCGTTCACTCCTGAACATCGTACAAAATTCTATCTAAACTAGCACTGACCCATGGATAAGTCAACTCTGCATTTTAAAATGAAGTTTAAGGCTAAAATTTCTGGACTTATACACGAGTATGTACGGTACTTCTCTCAGGATCTTAACGCTAAGTAGTCCGGTTTGTGGTGGTGGCAGCTCTGGCCTCTCGATGTCCGGTCATCATATATACATTTTTGTACTAATAAAATAGAATGATTCATTAATTTTTCTAGAGGTTCTAAATGACAAAAATTCAAATATTGTACGTTTTTGTACAGAAGGCTCTGTCATATTCTTTGTTTTAGCATAATATTTTTTATTGAAATCTCACTATATGTTGTTTTCTTACAATCTGTTCAGGAAAAGGTATTGCTTTACATTATGGGCCTTCTTTCTGAAGTCCAGCTCATTCTGAATATTAATTAGCTTTCACTTCTCAAACATTCCTTTTTCTCACAACTTACTAAGGCCTTGATGTTAAAATATTTGAGCCAGCTTTTCAAATAATGTGATATTTTTAGATATTTTTAAAAATTATTTAACATTTAAAAAACATATATCGATAGATTTTTTATATATTGATATATATTTTATATATTATTTGTAAAATTTTTATATTTTGAAAAAATAATTTTAAAAAGCATATACAAACATTTTAAATTGACATCAATGTTACTATTTGTAACTTAAAGGGACACTATAGTCACCAGAACAACTACAGCATATTGCATTTGTTCTGGTGAGTAGAATCATTCCCTTCAGGCTTTTTGCTGTAAACACTGTCTTTTCAGAGAAAATGCAGTGTTTACAGTACAGCCTAGTGATAACTTCACTGGCCACTCCCCAGATGGTTGCTAGAGCTGCTTCCTATCTCAGTCTTGCCTAATTTGAATCACAACATCAGTATCTCCACCCTCTGCATGCAGACTCTGAACTTTCCTCATAGAGTCATTGATTCGATTAATCTCTATGAGGAGATGCTGATTGGCCAAGGCTGTTTGAATTGTGCTGGCGCTGCCCCTGATCTGCCTCTTTGTCAGTCTCAGCCAATCCTGTGGGGAGGCATGGTGATTGGCTCAGAACAACACTTCTGATGATGTCAGCAGGCAGCATGCTGTTCTGAGGCAAACAGGGGCAGAGCCAGCAGCTTTAGGCTTGAATACAAGAAAGCTTTTACTATATTTAGGGAGGCAAGGAGGGATCAGGGGGGCTAGATGGTGGATTTAACACTATATAGCTTCAGAAATAATGTTTGTGTTGCTGACCCTATAGTGCTCCTTTAACAGCTGACTGTTATTTTGCTGATCTCAGTGATTAAAGGACCACTATAGTCAGGGCCGTCTTTAATTTAGATTGGACCCTGGGCGAGCATTTACTTGGGCCCCCTGACTACGTCTAGATACACACAAATACACTACCTGACACACATGCAGATACACACTGACCACGTATAGATACACACAAGAACATACAGATACACACAGACTACATATAGATACACTGACACACACATAGACACACACACAGATACAAACACTGACATACATGCAGATACAAAGGTACACACACTGACTACTTATAGATACACCGACACACACACTGACAGACAGACACACAGATACACAACCTGACACACATGCAGATATACAGATACAAACACTGACACATACAGATACACACACAAATACAAATGGACAACATACAGATACAGAGACACATTCTGACAGACGTACTGACACAGACTCACACACAGAAAACCATACTGAAACACACATACACAAAGACATACTGAACCACACAGACACTGATGGACTCTCACACACACAGATACACTGACAGACATACTGGCACATATACACACAGACAGACGGACATACTGAAACACACATACACACAGACATTGACAGACATATTGACAAGCACAGACATACAGAACCACACTGACAGACTCACACATAGACATACTGACAGACATACACACATTCTGGCACACACACACAGACAGACTGAAATACACAGACAAAGACACTGACAGATATACACACATACAGACATTTTGAAACTCACAGACAGCCATACTGAAACACACAGACACTGACAGACTCACAGACACAGACATACTGACACACTGACAGACATACTGGCACACAGACAGACATTCTGGCACACAGACAGACATTCTGGCACAGACAGACAGACAGACATGCTGAAACACACATACACACATACAGACAGACAGACATGCTGAAACACACATACACACAGACACTGACAGACAAACACACATCCAGACATTTTGACATACACAGACAGCCATACTGAAACACACATACACACTGAACCACAGACACTGACAGACTCACACACAGACATACTGACACACTGACAGACATACACACAGACATACTGAACCACAGACACTGACAGACTCACACACACACAGACATACAGATACACTGACAGACTTTGATAACCACCCTCCAGTTTCTTACCTATTTCTGGAGGGTGGCTTCCCTGGGGTCCAGTGGGCTGGCTGGGGTGGCTGGGAGTTAAGCTTTCCCGGCCCGGCCCCCTCCGGAACAGCTTCTTCCTCCCGCGCGGCTCCTGTTTCTGTGGGAGGAAGTGACGCACGCCCAGTGCTGCCGAAAAGCAAGGGCCCGGTTGCGCTGTTAAAGCGCCACAGCGCCCGACCGGGCCCCTGCTGACACAGGCCCACCGGGTGGCCCTAAGTGCATGGGCCACCCAATGGGCCCCCATAGTTTGCGGGCAGAGGGCAAACAGGGCAGTTACCTCGGGCCCCCCAGCAGGGACAGGGCCCGGGGCAGCTGCCCCGTTTGCCCCGCGTTAAAGACGGCCCTGACTCCCCTCCCTCTTCTGATGTCATCTGATGAATGCGCACGCGCACGCATTCAGCCAGTCTCATAGGAAAGCATTCTCAATGCTTTCCTATGGACGCTGGCGTCTTCTTACTGTGAAAATCACAGTGAAAAGCGCAGAAGCGCCTCTAGCGGCTGTCAATAAGACAGCCACTAGAGGCTGGATTAACCCTAAAGTAAACATAGCAGTTTCTCTGATGTTTACAGCAGGCAGGGTTAATCCTAGATGGACCTGGCACCCAGACCACTTCATTAAGCTGAAGTGGTCTGGGTGCCTATAGTAGTCCTTTAATTAATATATATATCTATCTATCTGGGGAGGTCACTTTATATCTGATATTGCCACTAGTAAGATCTACAAAGAAACAGTTAATGTAAAATAACTCCTACTTTTATACAATGATATTAAACTGGGACATGTTTGTACACAAATATATAAAACAACAAATAGCCAGATTTCAATATATATTCAACATAAAAATAGCCAAAGTTGAAAAATGCTTCCTCAAAGTTAGTTATGTTTACAATTCGCATATGCTGGCCTACAATTTGAAATTCAAATGTGTGTGTGTGTGTGTGTATATATATGTCTTATGTTAAATGGCAAAAATATATGAATGTATTTATTTCTTAAAAAGATTATTTATGAAAATTGAGTCCTCTCCCCAAAACGGGTGCATTGACCACGTTATTTACTTACTTTGTAATTGCTAGGAATTTTAAGTAAATTCAAAAATTTAGGCCTCAACTGACAAATTAGAAAACAAAATGTCAAGGTAATTCTGTTTCCAATTTGTCTGTTTTGGTCTTGAATATTTTAGCCTTAAAGGGATACTCCAGGCACCCAGACCACTTCTGCCCATTGGGGGTTTCCTGGCACTGGAGAATCCCTTTAATTTGAAATTCACTTTGATTTCACTTTGAAGTCTCATAAATATTTAGTGAAATCCCCTAAAAGGGAATTTCAAATTGTAGGCCAAAACATAACAAACTTTGAGGAAGAATTTTACAACTTTGGCTATTTTTGCTTAAATTTTTTTTTATTTTTTTTTTAAATAAATGTATACAGTTGGTTGTTTTGTCTACATGAAGGAAAAAACTGTGAAAACAAATATTTCAAATGGATTTTCACGATCGTGTGAATTTTTTGAAAATCAAAGTAGATTTCACATTTAGGTTAAAGTAGCCAATGAAACATTCGAGATTCTCCAAGTTGGCTATCTTTTCAGTATGATAATTTGATTTAAAATGTGAAAACGAAGGTTCATTCTAAGATTAGAAAAAAAATACATTTATTTATAAAACAAGACAAAGGGGACATTTTGTTAACCTGTAGAGTATTTCAACAAGCTGAAAGGCATTAGGGGTTGGAGTGTTTTTAAACACATTGAAGTCTCAAAATTCACACTTTAGAGAATAATTGTATGCATTAACCCGAGTAACAACCGTGTACTTTTTGATTGATAAAATATTAGCGTAACATTTATTTGAAGACAGTGATACACAGCCAGCATATAAAATATCAAAAGCATTTTTGTGTACAGCATGCTTAGCGGACAGACTTAAACATTTAAATTATGTAAATTTTTTATTTTTCACTTATTCGTTTATATATTTGAGAAATGAAAAGCTTTAGACAGTATACAGTTCACTATTTCACAGAGGATCAAAAATGCTACTGTAAAAGCGAAAAGTCAATTTTTCTTGCATATAGTATATGTGACAAAAGTAGATAAATAAAAATGGCCAAATACCTTACTTTTAGGTATTTGTAAGGATCCGGAATGCATTATTAGCAGGGCAGCTTCCTGAAGACGGCAACAGAATATAAAAATGTCTGGCCCATACAAATAGACATAATTCATATATTTCTATTTAAAACTGCTATAGCAATCTTTGTCTGTCTCTGGAACGCTAATGTAATGCCAATAGTGAAATGGTAGAGTCTATCCACACTCACCCTCAACGACTGGAGGAATAATATGACCCATTAAAACCTCTTTTTCTATTTTAAAGCAGGAGGTGAGCAGACATTATATAGCATTATAACACTACTGGTAGAGAAATGTGTTCTACAGGCATGTAATCATAAATAGAGTATACATGATGGTGAGTGAGACTTTATGGACTATATTTCATACTGAAAAATACATGAAAAATCTAATATTTTTTTACTCAATCCGGGTATTGAATGGGTTAATTGACTGTTCATTTATAATAAAGTATTTTATGAAAGAAGTTTAGTGAATAATCCTGACTGATTTTATCCCAGCAGGGAATCTACAAAGAACAAATATGTGCTGATTTAATTTATGTATTTGAAGACTTTAATTAGAATTTTTGTGTAACTATATATCTCAACTGTGCACACTAAGTGAAATGCTCAACTCAAGAAGCGTGGCAAGTGAGAATCTGCCAGAAACAAGACAGATTTTATGTTTCGTTCCTTTAAACACACCTAATAGTGTTATAGGGAGTACATTGATGTGACATTTTTTTCTTTCTTACATTATTAAAGTTTAATTTATCTACGTAAAATCTCCTTTTGTCTCTGTTTGTCCATTGATTCTCTATTCCTCGTGTGTTTTAAAAAAAAATAAAAAAAAATTATTCACTATATCCCTGGTTCATCTAAAGTGTTTATTCGTGAATAAGATGTGAAAACTAAATTGCAAAAGTTTATTCCAAAACTGAGTTGAAAAATGATCAAGTGTTCACACCTGGTCACATCTTCCCACCATTATTGGCATTATACTATTATTATTATTATTGTCATTTATATAGCGCCAACCGATTCCGTAGCAATATTATGAGAGGTGGGATTTAACTATAAATAGGACAATTACAAGAAAACTTACAGGACCGATAGGCTGTAGAGGACCCTGCTCAAACGAGTTTACAGTCTATAGGAGGTGGGGTATAAAACATTAGGACAGGAAATAAGGAGGGAGTGAAGCAGAGCTGAGGAGAGAATAGAGAGCTGCCCTGCGACCCGGTATATACGCCAGTTTACCAGCCTCTTCTCCTGGGGGGCCCAGGAGCTGGCCACCTCATGGCCCACCCGAGGCTGGCAGTGGGGTCACCGTGCGCGCGTGAGCTTTCTCCCTTGAGCGCTCTCTGCCCAGCTCCCTCGCGCACACCGCAGTGATATGACATATGAGAGTCGGAATATGACATCACTCCGGCATCACTAAGCGGTGCGCGAGGATGCTGAACAGGAGGATCAGTGCTCCCTCGCCGCCTGCAGGACTGGCCTCCCAGCAGCCCCACTTGACCCCAGGGAAATCTGGAATCCCCTCAGCACTCCCAAAGGTAGCGAGGCTGGGGGATTAAATAAAAAAAAAAAAAATTGTGAGTGTGTATGTGTGTTAGTGTGTGTGTTAGTTTTTTGTGTGTGTCTGTTACTGAGTGTGTTAGTTATGTGTGTGTGTACTAGTGAGTGTCAGTGTGTGTGTCAGTGAGTGTGTTACTGTGTGTGTCTGTTACTGAGTGTGTTAGTTTGTGTGTGTCTGTAAGTGAGTCTGTTTGGTGTCTGTGTCAGTGAGAGTGTATATGTGTCTGTCTGTCAGTGAGTGTGTATGTATGTCTGTCACTGAGTGTGTGTCTGTCAGTAAATGTGTGTGTCTGTTAGCTAGTGTGTGTGTGGTTAAAACCCCTTCAGCACTTACCTTTTTTGCTTGGCGCTGGGGAACTTGGCGCTGGGCGCCCCGATCTGCCTCTCAGCTCCGAATGCGCATGCGCGGCAAGAGCCGCGTGCGCATTCAAACCGCCCATAGGAAAGCATTTATTAATGCTTTCCTATTGACATCCAGCATCTTCTCACTGTGATTTTCACTGTAAGAATCGCGGAAGCACCTCTAGCGGCTGTCAGTGAGACATCTACTAGAGGCTGGATTAACCCTCAGTGAAACATAGCGGTTTCTCTAAAACTGCTATGTTTTCAGCTGCAGGGTTAAAACTAGAGGGACCTGGCACCCAGACCACTTCATTGAGCTGAAGTTATCTGAGTGCCTATAGTGGTCCTTTAAGTGTATGTGTATCTGCATGCACTGGATTACATACCGCGGTCGCAGCCCACAGATCAATTTTCACACCGGGGCCCCAGAGATCGTGTGTACGCCACGCTAACATAGATAATAAGGCGTGCTCTGCTTTTCTGTTATCAGAGTGCTCACTCCACTGGGTGTCTCTCCTGCTTGAATTTGGCCTAAGGGAAAGCAATGTCTGCAAGGTGAAGGAGGGATGAAGAGCAGGCGCTGTGTGAGCGCAACAACAGCAGCAGCACAGAGAGACAACCAACCAGAATACTTTATTGCAACAGCTTTGAACAGGCAATCTGAGAATAACAAGAGAAAACAGATATGCCTTATTTATACAAAGCCAGCATAAAGTTTTGGGGACTTCTAACCTGTTACAGGAAGCAAGTCTGCACTTCCCATACAGGGGTACGCAGGTCTTGCAGCAAGTTTAACACCCACTGAAAACAGGATTAATGCTCTCAAGAGGAGATAGGGTAATGGAAATTGTAACGGAACCGCTTGGCACCCTGACCGGGTACCTTCCGTTGATGGATGCTCCAAGTGCTTTCCGAGGGCTCTAAGCACTCCACCTGACACCATAACCACCGCCGCAGCTTGGTTGGGGTCTCGCCGTCTCCACCCACTCTAGACCCAAGACCAGGGTCCAGCTTCCAGGAAAATACACAGTTTCATACAATATTCATAACTCCTAAAGTATTCATACAATCTCCATAAAATTAAATATTTTGAATCAGCATACCCAAATACAAACATACCCAAAAATCAGACAATTCCCTACAGTGGTTAAAAAGTTGCCCAAAACAGTTCCATAGATTTGGGCTGTGCGGTCGGTCTATTTTATGCAGAAATATAACTAAGTCCCATTCTAAGGCATGAACGGGCGACGTTCGTGCAAATAGCTTAGTATAACTGTGCATTCGAATCGTTGAACGCACTTCGATTTTAGCCGAAGCGTTGAAGTTGCAGAGAAGGTAAGGGTCAGCGGTGTGTGTGCTGTTTTGGAGCGGATTTCAGTTCCATGAATTCAACGGCACACACCGCTGACCCCGTTCGCCTAACTAAAGATGGCCGCCACCACCTGTTTGACTGTACAAACGGTGGCCACCCAACAGTCGGCAATTAACCATGCGGTTAACCACCAGTCTGGGAGGTAAATTGCCTGCACACTTCCACTTGCATGTGGTCCGCCTGTTCGGTAATGGTTCGGTAAGCCCCATTTAAAGGACACGAACACAGTATTAATACCGTCTGGGGACACAGTATTAAAGGGACATTGTCACAAAAAGTCTCAATATGCCCATATACAGTTTTTAAAGGGCCATACACCCCAGGGCCATAGTCATGAGGCAGGAGGCTGGCAATCAGGCTCCTCCAAAAGCCAGGGGCAAAGAGCAGTTGGTCACATAAAAACCCGGTGACAAAAGGCAGTTTGTCACAGAAATAAATTAAAATGTGAGCTTTAAATGAAAGTATTAGGTGCAAATTGTATATTTGTTTACTTTAACTATATAAACAACATATAATAAAGATTATAATTTTAAAAGAACATGTTCAATACTCCTTTTTATGTTTGTTTTTTTATTTTTTGGGGGGAAAAAAATGACTTTAAAAAAACAAAAACTGTAACCGCCCCCCCAGCCCCCACTTTCCCTAGCAAAATCATATAAAACTAAAATAAGTGATTGCAGAAA